CTGCACCGCTCTGCAGCCCTGCACACCGGCACCTCCGTGCGCCCTGCACACCTCATGGGCCCAGCACCTCCCTGCACACGTTCTGCACCTCCGTGCACACCTTGCACCTCCGTGCATGCCCTGCCCGCCCCAGCACCTCCGTGCGCACCCGGTATCCGCCGCTTATACCAGTTCACATCCCTGACCTGTTTCCCACCTGTTGCACACTTGCCTGTGCTACCAGGCTGCGCCCGTCTCAGGCATCTGTCCCCCACGCACACCTGCTCCACGTGTGCCCTCAAGACCAGCCTGTCCCTCTTCCTCAAGTACCTGATTCACACCCGCCCCGTGTCCTGTCTTTCCTGCACACCTGCCCAAGGGACCCTTATGGCGGTGGGCTGCACACACCCGCACCTGCGTCCTTTCTCTTGAGTCATTCCCAACCCTGCTCTCCTTCTGGAACCTTCTTAGCTCCTGCTTCTGGCCCTGCCGGTCCTCCTCTTCTGAGTTCTGGCGGCCAGCTGCAGGTCTCATCTGGAGGAACCTGGCACTCGAGGCCTTTCGTGCATGAGTTCCGGGCTGGCCCTCGGTGGCCTGTGCCTACTGCTGTCCACAGGCCCCCTCCCGGGACAAGGCCCCCCTCGCCTGGCCCTGCTGCCTGAGCATCTCATCTACCAAGCAGTCGGGTCCCGACTCACGACCAGAGAGCCTGGCGCTGCTCAAGAGCACCTGTCGGAGGCCATGCCTCCAGGGCGCAGCATTTGGGCAGGACCGAGAGGGCTTTCTTTAGGGCCCGGCCCCCTTCCTGTGGGAGAGACGTCCATCCTGTCCACGGAGCGCGGTAGCCCCCGCCTGCGGCAGGGGTTCACAGCTCTGCGTGTCAGAGCGCAGGCGTGCCCGTGGCCTCTGAGGTCAGGTGGCCCAGGCAGGGGGCGTGGCCCCGCCCGAGGCTGTGTGGGCAGCCCCTGCACAGCTGCCCACTGGAGGGGCGCGCAGTGGCCGCAGCCTCACCTCCGTGCGAGCGCCAGTGGAGTCCTCAGCGCTGCCCCCACGCAGGCGATGCCAGCCCGGAGCGGACGGGTGGTGACGGGAGGGAGGGGCTGTGGGAAGGGGGTGCCGTGGGTCGGTCACCACTGTGTGCTCTGGGGGGCCCCGGGCCCTGCGGGTACCTGTGTTCAGGAGGCAGGAGAGCCCAGCCTGGACGGGCCGCAGGGAAGGCGGCCGAGGGGCCAGGCGTCCCGGGGCAGCCCTGACGCCCAGGCTCGGGTCTCGGAATGGGAGAGCAGCCTGGGGTGTGGGGGGCAGCGTGGGTGGACGCTGCCGCCCTCTCTATGGCCCGGCAACATCTCCCAGGCTGCCCGAGCCAGGCGGCCAGTGCTGGCCAGAGGTGCGACCCTGCTGGGCGGTGCTGAGGCGGCTCCCTGTTGCAGAGGTGACCACAGTCACAGTGGCCAACGTGGGCGCCTCGGCAGACAATGTCTTCACCACAT